CGCCCCTGCCGCAATTTATAACAAGAAGCAGTACAACTCTTTGAAAATATATTGTAAAAGTAAGAATAGCAAAAGACTTTGGATGATTTAAGGTGGATTAAGGATTCTCCTCACAGAACATGTTTAAAACACCTGTCAGACATACATACAGAAGTACATCCAAAGTGCAGGGCAGAGGTTCTGCCTACTCAATCAATTTGGCCCTGTTTTTCCTACAATATTTTCATTTATAGTACCAGAAACGTCATCAAGAGAATGATGAGCTCTTCAGCTCACTCTTCTGTGAAGAAATGTGCTGTCTTTGGTTTCACCTTTCTGTACTGAATATGCATCTCATTCATGATCCCTTAATTCAAAACAAGAAAACAGCTCCTGAGAAAAACACTTACATATATATCTCTGACATTGCATCCACTAGATGGATCCACTACAGAATTTCTTAAGCAGTCATGTCTGTAGAGGTCCCATGAGAAATTTTTACACAACTAAGAGCTAAACTGAGGTGCCTCCAGAACCCAGCAGTCTCAGAAACCAGGAACTCTGAATCACATTTTTGAACCTCTAAGGTCCATCCTAACTATAAATGCTTATACTTAAAAGCTGACGTTGCCACACCATACAATGCCAAAGAGTCCCTTACCTTGCTCTGTAGTACAAAGCTATGATAACAATGGGAACACTTTCCTCCTACAAAGGCAAGTAATCTAATTCAGTCTCTCTAATCAATCTTTACAAAGTTATTTATAACAAAGGCAACAAAATTATTTAAACCAGAATTAAATGACTCACCCCAACTTGGATTTTTCCATCTAGTAATGCAATTCAGAATTGTTGCCACATTTATGAACACTCTTCAGCTTGCCATTAGAGTTAAACACATTTATCTAAAGTCGTTAAGTCTGTTTGCTCAGCACACGTAACAGTGGAAAGAGAATATTATCACCCACATGCACTCCAATAAACTGAAAAATCCTTAAACAATTGATCCTGTTTTACTCCATGTCTTGTTACAGAACTGGGGCATTCCAGAACAAAACCATTGTATAGAACATGTGGGCACCTGTAACACAGGAGGAAGTGAGTTTGCATTCTACAGCATAACTGAATGAAAATACAACACAGTCCTCTCTGTGGTGACAAAGAAATGTGCTTGTGATAAAGTGAATGGCTACACTACCAAAATTTATCATTGGGTATTAGGTCATTTTACAGTCATTCATGACAGTTGAGGTGCCTTGCTATGTCTATATGCACAAGACAGGTTTTGAAAGTAGTTACCTCAAATTAGTGTGCCCATATGTTATCAACAGTGGATAGTAATCTCAATACAGAAACATAGAAAAGTTCTAATCCTGTTCCATTAGTCCAACAGAACTATGAGAATGACTGATCAGCACTGGGACCTTCAGTTAATGGCTTAGACTAAAGATGATGGAAGCAAAGCATGCAAAGTCTACAGTTCTTGAAAGATTTGCAATGCCAAATTCAATTATACTTGAAATCTTCACATCTATAAAAGACAAAACTTTAAATATCTAAGGACAATAAAAATGCAATGAGGCAGAGAAAGCTTCAGTTTTGTTTGTAGTCTGAAATATGGTATAGTTTTGAAGAATAATGTTGTACTGGTATTAGAGCATTTGAGAGATGAAACCCCACAAAGATAGCTACAAGTTTCAGTCACTGGCTTTAGATGCTGCATTTGCCTTAAGCATTTATACTTATTCCAACAAGTGTTCAGTTCTTTTCTTAAACAATATTTTCCCAGTGTACCAAACAGGAAAACCCACCTACTCAAATTTCTTCAGTCTTGTATCTTCTCTTTCTGTTGATATAAAAATCTGTCCTGTATTTCTACACTTCCAATTTGATTCATGATAATTTTATCAAAACAGTTACCTTCCTCATATGCACAAATAATTTGAGATTAAGGTTTTGTCAGATATTGTTTGCATCCACAATTAACTTGGCGCTGAAATTAATACAGAAATTATACTGTGCCAAACACATGCAGCTATAGACTTGTTTCCCTGTATTTACATATACTTTAATCATAAGTGCTCTGGTTTCCTTGGATTGACTACAGGACTAGAAACTTGAGTACTAGAAGGAAAGATAGAATTAATGATCCAATTTGGGCTTCTACTTACACCTCTATAAATCAAGAGTAATTCCACTGACTCGAGTGGAATAACTAGCAACAAGATCTGCTAAATACTTCTGGATTTTCTCCTGCTAAGACAGACAAAGGAATAGAGTTACTTACAACCTTCTCCAGAGACACCTCCTCATCTTACTGGATTTCTATCTTAACTGGATTTGTTCACACAAGTATCAATCAGCTACACACTGCTTTACATATTTGCCAAGGTTTTTAATAAAGAAACTCAAGCACAAAAAGCTGTTCTATGTCTATTGGAACAGGAAAACTGTGAAATTTAATGGATTTGATGAATTATCAGGTAAACTGTTTAAGGAATATAAAGGCATTTAAGATACTAAACAACTTCCTTGCACAGATCTCTCCAAGGACTACCACAGAGACAGTACACAAAACCAAACCCTTATGAAATCATAGACTCATAGAATCAACCAGGTTGGAAAAGACTTCAAAGATCATCGAGTCCAACCCTACCGTGGTTACTGGACCATGGCACTAAGTGCCACATCCAGTCTCATCTTGAAAACCTCCAGGGATGGTGAATCCACCACCTCCCTGGGCAGCACATTCTAATGCCTGATCACTCTCTCTGTAAAAAATCTCTTCCTAATATCCAACCTAAACCTCCCCTGGCAGAGCTTGAGTCTGGGTCATTTTACATTTTTCTTCAAAGATAACAAAAATGTTATCTTTTAAGTAAAATGGTAATTCAAAAGGTGCCAGATCAGTTTGGTTACATTAGACAGAGAACTCAGATAATCAATACATTCTATTGATAGGAAGGCTTATAGTGCATCTCAGCATGTTACTTTAGCCTAAATAATCTTTCCAGGCCAGATACGCAAAATCCTCTCATTTGTGATTTTGTTGGTCACTCAATAGATCCACTGACTTGAGAGAAGCATTTCCATATTGCCTCTAGTAAGAATTCTTGCCAGTGGTTTTGTGTTATTTAGAAAACTGGATATGTGCACTGAACATATAAATCAAGTTTCCCTTTGGTGTTAATATAGCCTAAAAATAACACTTTCTTGATGTTCTTTGAATATGTATGTAGCAAAAGCACTAAACATATAGAAATTGATAATTTTAAACCTCTTTAGATTAATGAAAAGAAGGGGAAAACCAAATATATTAATCTTTGCAAGCAAAGTTACTACAGATTACAATGCATTTCATAATTGTGAGTCATGAATTGCAGCAGGAAAACCAACCATGAACAGGTTACTGCTCAATAAGGTCTTTAGTTCTGCTTCCACAAATCTTCTGTTTCTCTCATCACAACTTGAGATTTAAATATTATCCTTTAACAAAGGAAATAAATAAATGACTCCTACCTGATATAGCTGGTAAGACTCCAGACTGCAGTACTGCTGTTCCCTAAAGAAAACAGAAAATTTTAGAATGAAAAATCTTTACAAGAAATAGAAACTTCACAAAATAGAGCAAGAATGGCAGAGAAATCACTTCACCATCACTCAAACTTAACAAGTGGTTTTAAACCCAGAACAGATGCAAAGGCCCTCAGACCTGAAGGTGTTCAAAACATGTATAAATTGAAAAAGCTTATAAAAGGTTGTGTGTCGTAGCCACATACCTTAGGAAAGGCTAATGAACTTGGCTTTAGATGTTTTGCAACAACTCTATCAGGCACAGTGAACCGTAGCACTATTGAATCAACCCTAAATTAAATTACAATAAAGAGGATATCAAGCTGCAACAACACAATTAACAGATGTAAATTAAGGCCAGGCCTATATTTACTTAAAATGATAGGTGCTGTGAACAGACAGAAGCCTGGTGTGCCCCTGACTCAGCCCAATAAAACCAACACAGAGCTTAAATCAACTTCAGACTGCCTACAAATCCCACCTGTGACATCAGGGTTGTTCTAAAGGTTTTTGCCATCTCAAATGTTTCACATTGTTCATGCCATGGTGGTACAATGGCAGCTGGGGCACATCAAAGGAGTCAGACATACAGTACCAATATTTATTCACACTAAAGAGTAAGCATGTTCCCAAACAGGCTTGCAGGTCACATTTCTCCCCAGCTCTACTATCTATGTCATTCACAGCTGATCTGGAGGACACCCTGGCACTTCCACCTCCAGATGGTATCAAAGCTGCTCCTGCACAGCAACACCAAGGTAAGCTCTGAAGTCAGCCTGGTCTGTGCTGCTGACCACCACTTTGCCAGAGGTGTCTTATTTCTGTCACCTTGGTGAGAAGAATTCATCATAATGATCCTCTCTTTCTGATAAAGAAATGTGTCTTCTGGACTTTGAAATTGAAAAACTTTATATACCTATTGGACCTGAACAATAACACTGCTCAATTCCAAAATAATAAAATTCTATTTTACATGACACCTGACAGTAATTTTCCTCACCTAAATACACAGACTCCTGACCTGTGATATCTCTCTTTCCTATGCTTTCTTACAAGGTGGTGGCTCTTCTGACACACTCAGGACTTTATATATATATATTACATACATCTTCCCCCTATATAGGTGCTGTGTTTACTTCCCAAAATTTCTCAATAGAAAACAAAATAAAAAACTTACTTATTATCCATTATAAGTTCAAGTCATACTAATTCCTGTACAACATTTTCTTAAGGAAAACATATTAAGATGTAAAGCTCATTACATGTGATTATCACAAAAAACTGTTAGAGTTAACAACTAGATCCAGCTTTGGTTACAGTTCAGTGGAAAGGCTTTCTTTGGTTTTGGTGCACTTTGCAATCAAACAGAAAATATTAGAAAATATTATCCTGATACCCTTTCACCTAATAAAATGAACATTAAAAGAGCTTACTTGAACCAATTGGGGTGGGTATGTTTTTCTATTTAAATACAGGTTTGAACTCTGCAACACAGAACAACTTTCAACAGTGGAGCAGCACATAACCTAGGAGATGTTTCTGTCTGATCCTATTGCAAACAGAATCTACAGCCTCAGTATTTACTTGAGCTTTTATGTTAGCTATATATTTTAATGAATAAAACATTGAATTTGAGCACTTATTTAGAGTAGAAGGGAGGGGGAGGAAATCAGAAACACAGCTAAGTTTTTTTTCCTTAAAGAGAAAAACATCCCACAGCATTTCAGAAAAAAACAAAAGGGCATTTTATTAATTTAACCACAGTAGATTGTATTTGTTTTTATAGTTACTGTGTTCCACCACAAAAGTTGCTGTTTTCATTTGGGAAATGTGCAGAAGTATTGGAATAGATAAAGGACAGAGAAGTTTTGAGTCCATTGTAAGCAGAATTCTCTATATTTAAGTAGCAATATTTTTCCTTTACAGTAGAGTTGCTATGACATTTTTTGTCATTAGCATTTACAGCATACCTGAAAACATGTTTTTTCCTGCCTCTAGTAACTTATTAGGGGTGTACTAATACAAGATGCTGAAAATAATTTCCCTGACTTTGGTTATGTCCATGGATGTAAAGCAGATTATGTGCTAGCTTCCTTAATGGATTAGAAAGTGGCAGACTGCAGGGTTGAAATGCATAAAAATCTTATCTCATTACTGAGAAAGGATCTCACAACTTTCTTGCAACATTTTTGCTTTTAAAAACAAAATATTTTTTCCTTGGTTACTTGTGGAGTACGAGGAAAAACTATATGTTACTCAGTTCACAAAATGAATCAAAAACTGTTTTGGGAGGGGGTAAAATTATCTTCCTCACTTTGCCTCTACTTTCATTCATCTACACAGCTCTGCTGTCATTCAGGGCATGGGCCTGATGCATGAAACTAGATAGGAAGCCAGAAAAATATTTTTAACTCTCCGTAAATGCATTGCACATCAGAATATCATAAATTGTAGGAAAAAAAATGGATAGAAATAAAGAATAGGAAGCAGAAAACCTGAAAGGAAATTGAAAGCTCTTTGAAGAAATAATGGCATTTGTGTTCTTTGTTTAGACCTAATCTCCCAGAGAGGAGTCCTCTTTCATTATTGCAGATATTACAAGCAACGGTAATGCAAAGACACAAAGATTAAACTGAATATCTTTATGATTGGTTTTATTCTCACCTTATAGCAAAGTTGTTGCTTGCAAAATAAAATTTCCATTTCGGTACACCATGTTCTATTATTTCTGCAACTCTGAGGCCTCTAGCTGTAATCCTCCATATGGCAGAGACTTCACTAACTAGCAGTAGCAGCTGCTAAGGCAACTCAGCAGAAAGAACAGTAGGGAGACTTAAAAGCTCTGTTTTAGAATTTTATAATTTATAATCTGTATTTAGAATTTTATAACTCCACAGAACACAGCAAAACATGGTTTTGCCTGTAGGAGAAACTTTCTTAATTATTAGGGCATAACGCACAAATGTAAGTGCATCATTTTCATATGCAGAGTGTAACACATCTCAACCTACCATATGATTACATCAAAGAAGAAAAGAGTAAGTGACCTCACTCAAATAATATGCTTTTGTTATGCCTGCAATGATACTCAGACAATAACTCACAATGTGATTGTGAGTAAATCCTACGTATCTCATAATATTACTCATAAATACATTACATATCTTTCTAACATAGAATCTTTTATCTGTGACCCAAGAGCTGAGTGCTGAAGTATGTGGTGCAGGGCTGTCAGTTCAAACCACCTCACCACTACAACACCCACAGTAAACAGATATGTACCACTTGTATATCACACATCATGGACTACATGTCCAGGGCTATTTTAGCTCTGGTAGTGATCTGGCTGCTGTCAGATGACATTCATTTTTGATGTTCTGCTTCCAAATATTTTGGGTAGAGTTCAATGCTAGATGTTAGGAGAACCCACTAGTTTGATCTGCTGGGTCATTATTCAGAGATTAGCTCAGTTGACCTAAAGAGCTAAATAGAACCTAAGCCTCAGCATTTATTTCTCTGTGTGCAAAGGACCATCATAGTACATAATCCTTTTTACAATCAAAATGGGATTCTTTTTATTTTCCCCCTCTGGGTATATTTGGCATATCTTCACCTTTGTCTCACCTTTTGTTTACTTCTTTTAAAGTTTCATTTTATTTCATTCAAGCTTTCATTCACTTTAAATTTCATTAAATTCTCATTTTTTTAAAAAATTAACAGATAAAAATACTGTCCCATATGAATATCAGCATGCCTACTTTTCACTGTATAACTTTCCATACCTAATCCTGCTCTTCTGCTGCTTATGGGAGTTTACATCTTTGGGCACAAGATCAGCCCAAAAGTCTGGATCATGTAGTGTAAGCTCACTGTAACTCTACTGCATTGTTTCCTGGTTTTAGAAGATTCATAGTGGCAAAAGGCATCACAACCACGGTGTGAAAAGGAGCCAGAAGCTTGCAAGTTAGATAGACAGAAATTAAAAAAAGAAAATATTGTCTTAAGACTAATTCTTCCTCTTACTGACTCAGGGTAGGAACTGATGGATAGCTGTTCTATATAAAGTATATATTTTCATGGAACCAAAATATTTTTGTTTTCTATTTTGCCTCCTAAAAAGAAGGAACCTACACTTCCAAGAAAAACTAGACCAGCTTCTGTGGGATTTCATGCTGAGCAGAGCTCATCATCATTGGCAAGAGGAATGAAATGCCATTCACCTGATAACTGTCAACATTTTAGACACACCTCATCAGTCACAGCTTATGTAATTCCTTTTTTGTATCTTTAGAAATAAAGCTTTCCTTTCAGCTCATCGAAGTTTGGCAGCTTTTTATAGCTCCATTATTCTGCACCTACTAAGAATTAGAGTTCTTAGCACAGGAAAGACATGAACCTGTTGGAGCAGGTCAAGAGGAGGGACACAAAAGTGCTGAGAGAGCTGAAGCACCTCTCCTATGAGGAAAGGCTGAGAGAGTTGGGACTGTTCAGCCTGGAGGAAGAGAGACCTTACAACAGCTCTTCAGTACTTAAAGGGGGTTATAAGAAAGATGGTGACTGACTTTTTAGCAGGACTTGTTGCAATAGGACAAGGCTAATGGTTTTAAACTGAAAGAGGGCAGATTTAGACTAGATATCAGGAAGAAATATTTTACTATGAGGGTGATGAAAGACTGGCACAGGTTGCCCAGAGATGTGGTGGTTGCCCCATGCCTGGAAACATTTAAGGTCAGGCTGGACAGGGCTCTGAGCAATCTGATCTAGTGGAAGGTGTCCCTACTCACTGCAGTGTGGTTAAAGTCGATGACATTTAAAGGTCCCTTCCAGCACAATATAATATATGATTTTTAGGTATCTTTTGCTTTAGTCTAAGTAAACGTATTAAGTTTTGCCCCAATCTGAGGTCCTCAGACTGAAAGAAGAAATACTCAACATAAATAAGGCTCTCAAATTCTTCTTGCTACAAAACAGGAGTTCATACTTGACAGTAATAGAAGCAAGATTATTATTCAGCATATATTTAAAATCCATTCATAAACAGAGACTCAATTGCAACATTGGTCAGATGATTAATTTTAACAAATAAGGCGATCTAGATTTTTTCTACTCTCCCTTCCTTTATTTTAAAGCTATTGTTTAGTATAAAGGCCATGCAAAATATGCAGTTTTTCAAGAGAAAATCATAAAAATCATGATTCAAAATCCCTGAGTACTTGAAAAGCAGAAATTGTGAAGCAGACCTCTCTAACAGTAAAGAAACACTCTCCTGCCTGCTGTATATAGCTAGTGGC